GGTTTGGTTTTTATAGTACTAGGAAATGAATGCAGGGGAGCTTTACCACTGAGCCACACCTGYAGCCCTTTTTATTTTGTATTTTAAGATGAGGTCTCATCAAATTGCTGAGGCTGGCCTTCAACTTGTGATCCTCCTGGCTTAGCCTCCCAACTCACTGGGACAGGTGTGTGCCATAGTTCCCTGCTAGTGAAAAGGTCTATTTTGATATAAGTTAAAAGTTAATGGGCTGGGGTTGTTGCTCAATGGTAGAGCACTCACCCAGCATGTGTGAGGCACTGGGTTTGATCCTCAGCATCACATAAAAATAAATAAAAGTATTGTGTCCAACTAAAAATTAAAATAAAGTTAAAAAAGCAAATTGCGTATATATTCATCTGTCTATCCATCCCCCTATTCTACATTTTATAAGGTTAAAATATTAAATACACAAATAAAAGAGTCTGAAAGAATATGCATGGAACTGCATACAGCAGATATTTCTGGAGTGTGAAAGTGAACTAGGGGTAAAATATCTTTTCCTTTTTATTTTATATATGTTAAGAAAAATAAAAAGTTTGAAAGTGATGGGATAGAGTATTCTTTCCTAAAAGTGTCCTTTTCCCCCCTCTTTCTTAACTTCAAATTAGAAAAAATTCAAACATGAAAAATTTAAAGAATAATAAAATGAATACTTATTTAACTGCAAACTGTATACAATTATCTACAAGCTTATTTTCTATTTTCTAAAATCTCTCAAACATGTGCTCTTTTGACATTAAAACCAAGACATATTGGGATGGTGGATTAAAATAACTAGGAAAACTTTGGAGACAGGGTTTCCTTAAATTCCTGAGACTGGTCTTAAACTCAAAACCCTCTTACCCTAGCCTCTAAAGTAGCTAGGATTACAGGTGTGTGCTACTGTTCCTGGCTATTATTATTATTATTATTATTGTTGTTATTTAAAGAAAAAAAACTTTCCTTCCAGCCAAGGTTAATAAACAGAGTTCACTTTTGCCTGTCAACCCTCCGGAAATGCATGCCAAGTTTCTGCTATCCACAAAGACATGTGAGGTTTAGGAAAGGTTTCATTTTAAATCTTCYTTAATAAGCAAGTAKTTTCTTCCCTTCCTCCACTACTCTTAAAGATTTGTAAAACTTGATCAGCAGTTAATAATTCTAGAAAATTCCTCAACTCCATGTCCTCTCTTTCCTTTAGTAATGTTGTTATTTATTCTGCTACCCCAGGTGGTGAGTGTAACCTTGACGGCATGATACCTGCCTATGTACTTATGTTTCCATTTTAACTTTGTAAAGTTCTTGGTGATACCAGAGGTGCCCCTGCAATGGCAAATTCCACACTAGTTCTGCCTGAYGCTGGACACCTGTACTTGAAGACTTATTGATGTGAACCATTATTATCTTAAGACATTAGGCAGCTTAGGTTCTCTCAAACACAACCTGGCTGCATACTACTTGTGCAGACAGATGTATACATTCCTGGACAACTATTACCAGCAGAGGCAATTGCTTTCAATTGGAAAAGCCTGAGCCTCCCTGACCTGCTCAGATGCTGGAATGCAAAGTTTCACTATCAGAAGAACTTGGTTCTTACCCAATATTTATAAGTATGATAAAGCAATTTTCCTCTCCATATCCCCCAACCTCACAAAGATGGTTATACTGAAAACATCAGACTTTTCTTTCCTTTGGGTCTTAGCTGAGTAATAGTAACAAAATTCTGAGTTGTTCCTGACCAGAGTGTCTGGGGTACTGCTAAATTAACAGAATATTATCATAGGGAACTTGGAACATTGGACAAAAATGAGAAGAAAAGACTCCTCAAAACTAGAATTTCCAACAAGAATAAATAACTGAAAATGTAAATGGATCTTCAAGATTTTCATTTTTTAGGAAAACAAAATTTATATAATCAGTGAACTAAGCCACATGCTTCCTTTACCTTCAGAGAGGCTGAATGAATTTCAAATGATTTTTTTTTTAGTATTTTATCATTCATAACAGACCCATCAGAAGTGGAAATCAATTTCCTTTCATGGGCAAGTTCTGCGCTAGGCACCAGGTATATAAATCAAATCACAGGTTTCTTATTTCATTCAAAGTAATTTTTTGAAATGAAAGTGTGGATAATTAATTCYCCACTTATGCATATCATTAATAAATTTTCTTAAATGTTATAAGGTTTGGGGATAAGCAATTAGACGTTCATAGGTATGAAATAYATAATAGCATATTTCACACAGTAAAATATAAAATGTTCAAAATCCAAAAATTAAGTAGACTATTAGCACCTGCTATACAACATCTCATAAAGGATCACTTTATCTCACTACACAGAAAAACCCTTAATTCTTTGTGAATAAAAGGGAGAAATAAAACGGCACAATAAGGTTGCTTGGTTAAAGATCCCATCTTCTGCTCTCTTCCTATTGGCAAGAAATTAAGGTAATTCATAGCCACTGTCTGGAATCCACAGTGGCTGAAGTAAATGGTCACATCTCTGTGAATTCACATTAGCAAGCTGAGTCTATTTCCTCTATAAACTGGTAAACTTTTCATGACAGGAGGCCACATCATAAAGCTTGGRAGAAAAGAGACTATTTCAACAAATCAAGCTTAAGTGGATGGCTCACCAGAGCCACAGGGCACAATACAATGTTCCCTGAGTGGGCACTTGTGCTAGGATCTTAGGACAATTTCTCCTTTTCTATTCTCTTCCTCTACTGCATCTCCTTCCTTCTTTATTCATTTTGTCCACTTTGTTCCATATCCATTTGGCGATAAATGTAATCTTTTATTGACACCTATCACCATTTTCACTTTGTAAAGGCCTTAGTGATACAAGGTGGTGCCATTTCAATTGTCACATTCTCTCTCCTTTCCAGTGACTTGTTTGAACTTAACATATGCTCTCTATAAATGGAATTCACATTCCTGACACATGAGGAAAACAATCTTAATGAGATATTTGGATTTGCCACACTTGAAAAACTGTCCGTGAAAGTGAGGTCTCTTGAGAGAAGGCATTCTTGGTCTCCTGTGCTCTCTGAGGAATCCTTTCTACACAGTTCATTTGTGCTTTGCCATTGAGCCTGGAAGCTTTCTCTGTGGGTTCCCTAAGAGAAAGGGAGAGCACTTCCCTCGAATCTCTTCTTTTGGGACTACATTTACCTTCATACTCAACTCTCCACTGTACCTCAGCCTCTGCTGGAAGACCACAGTTAGTTCCAGCACAGATCACAGTTTACAAAAAAACAGTATAAAACAGTAAGCTACTGGGACTGGGGTTATGGCTCAGCGGTAGAGCGCTYGCCTYGCACCTGCAAGGACCTGGGTTCGATCCTCAGCACCACATGTAAATAAATGAAATAAAGTTAGAAAAAAAAAAGCTATTAAAAAATCAGCAAATTACTACTAAAGAAAAGCCTGCTCTTTTTCTCTATTTCTAAAATGTATGATTGGTGATGAGGCAAGTTATGCAGGAATCATGTGGCATATAATGGCTTTCAGGGTTTCTTCTATTCATTCACAGTTAGCCAACATGGAGATGAATTTTTAGGTTAAGAAATTTCCTGTAGCCTGAAATAATATACCATCTTAAACTACAGCTAACCAAGATTCATTGCAACTTATTGCGTATCAATTTTCCATCAAGGGGCACCGAGAGGGCAAGTCAACGAAGCATCCAGGGGAATCAAGTTTGTTYAGCCATCATATCCATGCTCATGGTCTTCATTGATTAGCCTTTGAAAAAGGCATATAGGAGATGTTTAGCTATGTGTATAATTCTTCCACTTTTACTTATGAAGGTATATTCTTGCTTTCTAAAAAACAAATTGAGAAGTCTGACCTCATTTGAGTTAGAATATTTTTWAAAAATCTGTGATCATTGTATAACCACTTTGAAAATGGTAAACATCTCTTTCCATTGAAAAGTTATTGGTTACTGTGATACCTTTATGTGTAAAAGAGAAAAAAAAATATGCTAACCACAATAAACTAGGCATTTTCAATTCAAGGCAGTTCATGGAGAGTGTCTACTCTAATAGACCTATGTTGTAACAGCCTGGGAGTTAGAACATTCACTTGACACAAAGGAAGCTCGCCTACAATTTGGGGTACAATGCTACAACCAAATGTTAATCCAAAAGACTTCTTAGAGCAACTCTATTTTGTTCATCAGCATAAGGTATTAAGACAGTGCCACTCAACTTTGTACTCTTAGCTCTGTCATTTATTTACCACTCATTTGGTATGAACAAATTTTGGTTGAAAGAAAACAAAATAGATCTGGGMTTGCATTAACAATAATGGACAAAATACCCCTCAGTATTTTTCCTCTGTTGAAGCACTTATTGTTTATTAAGAAAAAACTATGTTTCAYGTATCATGTATATTTACTGCATATATATCTGCAGTAAAAAACCAAACCAAACCAAACCTGAATTTATCAGTGAGATTGAGAATAGAAAATATTTTWAAAACATTTGCAATTGTGCCTGGAATCTTTCCTCTTCTCCTTCCTGTCTTTTGTTCCTTTCTCTTCCTTCCTCCCTCTTTTAGAATAGCATAAACAAAAATAGGAACATATAKAACAAATCTATGCTTTCCCCATGGGATGAATGGTGTAAACGTTCATCTATTTATTCGTGCATACACTTTGTAAGATGAGAAGCTACATCTTTCCAGAGTGGCGTCAATAAAAATAATAAACTGTATTAAATCCATTACAAGTGCTAGACATTTTTACAAAGATGATAGCTTTTCGAAGATTTAACGAAAACTACAATTCTTTGCTCTCTCCCAATCCACTTTAGAACTGTACAAAAATCATAATTTCCTTTCACACATAGGATGGGGTGAACCTCAACAATATTAAAAGAGCAGGAAGAAAGAAGCTTTAAAAAATGATATATTCATCTCTCAAAACGATATCACCTGGGCTATAAAACTTCCCGMAAAGGCTGTATTTGGGACAAGCAGGGTCATGCTCTTACCTGGTGTTTGAAAGTTAAGGCGTCTCAGTTCTACTGGGTCTGTTGGATGGTGTGAAGGGACCTCCTTACTGTTCGGTATGCTGCTCTTTCTAGATTCAGACTCTGCCCTCTTCCTATAAGGAGAAAATTAAAATTTAAGAATTGAAAAACATTCTTTTTAAAAGTAGAGAGTCACACCACCCTCCACTCTCAAGTTTCCAGTTTCAAAACTTTCTAACCAGCTARTATTATAGCCTTGGCCAGGGTGCTTTTATTTTCTGTTGGCCTACAGTGATGCTTCAGGTCTAAAATGTTTAAGTGGATGATCTCAAAGTTCTCCTTCTGCTCTAGGATTAAACGATTCAGTGCCTCTGCCTTTTGGCTTTAATGGTGTGTTAGTAATAGAGCGCTTCGTCTTGTTCAGCCATCCTCTCTTACCTACCATTTATATTTTGTGAGAAATGGGTAGGGTGCCCCTAGTAGCCAAAACAAACATTGTTACAATAGAGAAACTACCTGGCCTTAAGCTGAACAGTTAAATCTTTCCTCTTCTTAAGAATATATATCTGGCGACTACAGAGTGGAGATACATTGAATTTTCCCATAARGCGGGTAAATGTAGTAAATGCATTTCTAAGATATTACTGTATCTTAATATATAGAAGGAGAATTGAAACCAAACAGACCAACATGCCCTTTCTCTTTCAAACTGGAAGGAAAGAGGACAGTTGGCTGTTTCCAGTGATATTACATTATCTTGTTAATGAAAAGCAATCACAGAATGATCAGAGAAAAAGTAATTTCATCTCATGGGCACTCCACCTCTCCTGATGAATATTCAAGGTAACATTAATGGTGCCTTGTTACAAATATTATTTTTCACAAAGTTCATCCTGTCTTTATTTTACAAGCTATCTATTGGTTGTACTAAACATACTTATTTAAACTCTCATAATAAAATGTTAAACTTCAAGGTAAGACATTTGTTCACAAACTTTCTTTATCCATTTTTCCAAATTCAAATAACTATCTCCTTGTAGACTGAATTAGATTAAAAATCCCATCATCAAAAGGAAGCCTTTTTCAGACTGTGCTTTTTTTTCCTCAAATATAATCTCTGAGCTAGATTATCATCCTATCCAGCATCATAGCATCTCACTCCTGGCTCAGAGCAAAAGCATCCTCATTCTGGGAAAGAAGTGTTTCCAAGTAGATAGGTGCTTTCTCTTCCATATGTGATTATGGTACAGCTCATTAGTGTTGCTGTGGCAAAGGGCTCTCATTTAAGGCCAACCAGCACATTCTATGGTTAGCCAGAGGGTGCCTATTAAGTAGCCTTTCTTTCCATTTCTGCTGTATAAAACAAAACTAACCAGGGGATGAAGGGAAGATGGATGCAAAAGGGGATGTGCACTTGGTTTGCTCAAGTGCAATGCCTTCGGCAAAACATCCTCACTAGAATGAATTTCCGTGGGCAAGTCCTATTAGCCACCTTGCTTTCTAAGCATCTTGGATTAACCTGTCTCAGGATTTCTTTTTTTTCTACCTAAAAGTGTCAGGTATAGCCTTAGGATAGAATGTACTGCCAAGCCAGACTACCAATCAGAGGTGAGTAGTGATTTTGAAATATGCCAAGGTACTGGCAGCTCCAGATGCATGGAATAGAAAACGAAAAGGAAAAGAAGATATGGAAGATTGGTGAGAAAGATGAGAAGGAAGAAAGATGGGGGGTGGGGGGCTCGAAAAACAATGGGRAAGGAGCATATGATGACCAGTTTCAGAATAGAAAATGTCACTGCATTCACGCTATGGGTATTTGCCTCACAACACTGAGAGATTCATTTTACCACCAAAGATGCAAAATCGAAATGGGTTAATGAAATGTCATGGAGTTCAGCTAGCCAATCAATCTCTCACAAAGGCTATGGTTGGTCTTCTCACTTCAATTAATACCAGTGTCCCATCTCAGGCTTTGGCCTTTTCATGGAAGTTGGCACAAATCTGCTTCTTAACTGATGTACCAGACCCAATGACTAAAACATGGATTTTTCTCCCTTTCTAGAACAGCTCTTCTGTCGTCCCTGCAAGATTACGAGGAACCAGAATTAGAAATATCTGGGCTAGGAAACTGCTTCACCCTTACAGGTGTTGTGAAACAACCTCCTTATCTTCTTTTTCCCAGAGGCCGGGCTGAGCGACACTGAGCCAGAGGTACAGAAAAGAAAACTYTCTAAAGCAATTTAGCCAATTTTTCTTGTACCAGGAAAGTTGGAAATCATGTCTTGTTGTCAAGATATGAGTCTCAGAAAACCCAGAGTATGGGAATGAAATTACTTACAATTCAGACTTGCAATGAGTGGGGAGGGGTGATCAGACATTTAATAACTAACTTTTCCCTTGCTCTATTTGTTCATATGAAATGAACTCTAAGACCAGCTATGAAACCAGTTGTCTTGCCTTTTATTTATTTTTGCTAAGTTTTGTTCTGAAGATCACAACATGGATGATTCTAGCTGCCGATACTCTCAGCAGAGTAGTTTTATATGTTTTTATGCTAGAATTTTCTTCTAACACAGAAGGCATTTCTAAGACTTGGAAGATGAAGTGTTGGTCATCATTGGTAATAATGTAAAGAGCTTTTAAACATTGAATTTACTGTCAAAATATTAAAAGGCATATGATAATCTAAATCAAGCCCAACATGAATGTACAGGGTAACATTTTCTTAATAAGCTTACACAGGTCCCATTTTCTTTTTCTATTAGAAAAATGCAAAGAATAGTGACTAGACATGGATTCTCAATTTTGTCTTGTTATAGTTTCTATTAAGAGTATAAAACCCTAGTGTAAGTTTAATGCTCACAGTGAGAAGTATCTACCCATGTGCAGGGATTACACGGCAAAAAGGAAATAAAAGATTACATGATATTTGAGATCTGTCAGAAAATTTAATGCTAATATAATAAAAAGAGGTTGTTTGGGAAGTGGGTAGTATGAAGCACAAACACCGCTCTATGGTCTAAGGGATGTTTCATTTTCACTTTCATCTGTCTCTTATCTAGGGAGGATGCAAGAACAAAGGGAAGGTGTATGGAATATCCTATTTCTGGCCTGAAAATAAAGACATTCAGCCATCTGGGAATAGACTTTTGAAAGAGATAATACTTATTTGAAATCTCTACTATTGATATTCAAAGAAACTACTTCAAACATGTCACAGTTCTGATACCAGGAAGACTGTAATCTCAAATCTGGTAAGGCCATTGCTAGGTGTTGATTTCTTCACTTACATAATAAAGGACTGCAATGTGCTGTATAAATTTTGGCCCAACTCTCTCATCTTAACAGAATGAGGAGGCAGCGATTGAGTTGTAAAATGTATGCAGTGTCACAATGGAAATTAGAGTATGAGATTGTTTCTGAGTTTTGTGTTTGGCCTGGGGGCAGAGGGTGAGGGAAGAACAATGTTGCTTGTGTTTTTCTGCTGGATTAATGGAAAGTAGAGATGTCCACAAGAGAAGACACCTAGCAGAAGTCTTAGGATCCCTATCATTGAATGCATAGCTTTCTGGCCAGTATAAAGTGATTCCAGTGAAGATAACACAATCATGGTCCTCAAACTTGAGTGTACATGAGAATCGTGTGTGTGTGTGTGTGTGTGTGTGTGTGTGTGTGTGTGTATGTGTGTATGTGTGTGTGAGAGAGAGAGAGAGAAAGAGAAATATTCTGCTGCTCCAGTGCTTGGAGTTTCTGACACAGGTCCCAGGTTGGGCCTAAGAACTTGTATTTCTATCAAGCTTCTAGGAGACACTGAGGCCACTCCTGTGATCCAGGGAACACTTGCTAAGAGCCATTGGAGCACAATGATGGGAGGAAGTAGGGATTCTCTGAAATCCTTTCCTTAGTTTATTTTAATCAGGAATTTATACTGGTGTAGATAATATTTACATATGCATATGTCTAAGTGTATACATATGAATGAGAAAGTGGGAAGGTAGTTTGGACTCATCATTTAATAATAGCACTGTGTATTTTAGATATTGTTATTATTGTTATTAATCAAGGCAGAAAGACACAGGTAAWAATTGTGAATTAGGAAACAGCTTTCACTAAGGCACTGTCCTTAATATTTGCAGGGTGTGAAAAATGCCAGTATCCCTGTATCAAATGATGATCTCTGATCAAATTTGAGAACTGATCTTTAGTAAGAAACAAACATAACAAAACAAAAAGGCTCATGGGACACCTCAGATTTCCACTCTGCAGACACATTAACACAAACATGCTCATTTAACCTAGACTACACAGAAAACTCAAAAACTGGCTTTACTACCTTCTCAAGTTGGCTTTAACAAATGTTTTTATCCCCCAGAGACAAAATAGTTATTTTCCTCAATCATTTTAATATCAAAATTATCATTTACATGTAGGCTGTGTCCATTTTCCACTATGGAGTTATCCTCCATAGGCAGCCCCCACCCTTACCTCTTCAACACCTCCAAAGTCTATTTGGAGAATTTTATTTTTTCTTACTGAGCATTGAAGGGGTTTGTTCTCTATTCCTCACCTGTCAGGCTTACTGCTCCATTTTAATGCGGCAAAAAAGGAAAAAGAAAAGCTAAATGTTAGTTGGCCAATGGTAACAAGAGTAACCATGACAACCAAGATTTAAAAACTAGTGCTCACAAGCAAGGATACATAACTGACACATATTAGGAAATGATAGTGTATCAAAATACTTAAAGGCCTCTAATCATGAAGTAAATGGAGGACATGAGGTTGCATCGCTGAATAAAAATGTGTGTATGTGTGTGCGCGCTAATGTATGTTCACTTTTCTCCATCACCTACAAAAATACTGCCACAGTTAATTATATCCCAGGAGGTGTTTGATGATGGAGATATAATTTCATTTTTTACAAAACATGCCATGAGAAAACTACTAATGTACTTGATGATGAAAATACAACAGCATTTCATAAAAGAAATTCATTCATTTGAAATAAAGAGTCTTCAGTTAAGAGGTACACTATTGCTTTAATGATATGGAATATCTGCAAATTGCATTGAACTGCACAAAAATTTTCACAATTGAATACTAGACCACAAAGTAATAAAGTGGCAGGAATGATTTCTTCAGACATCTCTTGACAAGTAAGGTAATCATAAATCTTTTTTCCAATAAAGGATTAAATACATTTTCAGTTTGGGAAAATACTCATCATTATAAATCTACAGAGCATGACCCATCAATACAGCTGGGCCAATCCAGAGAAGCATTTTATTACCAGCCATTGAAAAGACAGATATTTTCCTCAACAAAGAATGCAGCTATCTGCAAACACATCTACTGATACTCTCACGTGTGATAATACATTTACTGCTTAAACAACAGTATTGTTTTGGTGGAGACTATGACCTTTCCCTGAAAAAAATCCAAACAATCTGCATTTTGAGGCAAATTGCAAAGTACTTAGTGAGTTCCCACTGCAAAGAAAAAGGTACTAAGTCCTTAATGCCAATGAAATAAATACCCATATTGCTGAATATCTGGCACTATGAGATAATCCAGTCCATCTCTTTAAAAAAAAAAAGAAAAAGAAAATCCACATTTAAGTTGTACAAACACACACATAAACACTGAAAGATGGAGATAATTTAAAACCTACTGGTTAATTCTTTGTATTCTTAATTTTAAAGTGATTTATCAGTGTGCTAACTTAAAAATAATCATATATATATATATATATATATATATATATATGCTTATAACTTGCTCCTTTTTTATCCAGGACTATCAGAAAATCAGGAATAGGAAAATCTACTCCTTTGGATAGAAGAGAACCACTTAGTGAAATACCAGTTTTATGTATTAAAACGCTGCTTGGGTAGTCACATAAGTAGATGTATAGTTAGTGTACAAGTCATTTCCTCTTCTATGAAGTGTCAGTTTCAGCACATATGTGAGTACATATTTAGTGCAAATATCTAAGTTGGAAGGCTAAATTTAAAWTATGGTCAATGGTTTTATTAGAGCTCTTGCCAACCAAGATAAAGGTGATGGAATAAACAAGTGGAGGGAACCAGTTTATTGCATACTCATCGACCTGTATAAATTCAACTACTCCATGTAGGTCTGTGTCATGCATTCTACCAGGCACTAGGGACACAGCAAGGAATAAGAGTCCTTGACCCATAGTTCAGTCATACCAAATCAGAGAGTGGGTAATCACAGAAATGCAGTAGTTTCTCTAACAGGTAGGAGAAAAGTACTCTAAGGGCATAGAAAAGGGGATCGACCCTAAGAAAGCTTGAACTGGTAGAGAGGAGAGGGGAGGAGAGAGGCATCCCAAAGGACTTTGACCTATCAGGAAGCTTCTTAGCTCACTTCTGATGGATAAGTTAGCTGGGCCAAGAGGAGTGGCTGGATGTGATTGGGGAGGCCTTAGAATCCTTGGCAGGGGGCTGCGTGAACACCAGAAGGCAGGATCCATTGGCAATGTCCAGTGTGGGCTGGTGCAGCAGCATATTTAACAGCATCTCAAGATATTGATGACAACTTGGAAATATATGTAGAGTTGACACAAAAAGAGAAGATTAAAGAATCAAAGCCGAGGCTGGAGCTGGGGAAAGCTGGAAAAGTCTCTATTTCAGTCACATCTACTTCAGGGCATTCATGAAAGTATCTTGAGATGGGGGTGGAAAGTATCTACTCCCTTTGCCCTATGTGTTCAGGCTAGACTGTTCATGCTGCACAGATGCTTCAGATTTCTCCAACCTCCTAACCCACACTTTCTTTTTTTCCACAGTATAATACACACTTCTCATCTATCCCTAGAAGCTTTTTCATAGAGTCAGGTTAGATTTTATTCTTAAATATTTATTTTATATATAAATAATTCTTGTAGAGTTCTAGAACTAAAGACTGAAAAGCCTTATACATGTAACAGCTGCACAGGGCGGATGAATGCCTAAAAACTTCCAATTGCTTCGTGAATTATAATTTCTGAATGTGGATGGATAAAGGCAGGCTAGATTCATGCTTAACACATACATGCCAGCACACGGCAAAATAATATAGTCCTAGTCCTATTACCTGGTTTTTAAAATTTTCCCAGATTATAATACACTATTATTTAAAAAGCCCTTAATTATCTAGACAACCTTCCAGCTGTATAAATGGGGAAATCTAGGCCCAGAGTGCCGGCATGACTTTCTACCCTGTGTGGCCAGAACTGAGATTTGAACACAGGTCTCTCTTGTTCAGTGTTTTTCTAAACCTTCCTACCATCTTACCTCTGAAACATACATTTTAAGTCACTGTCCATATTGAATATGAAGCACAAAATTAAAAAGAAAAAAAAAACCCAATACAAAAAATTTGTAGCACTAAAAACCTGATAAACATTTTAATTTTCTGATCCTTCAGAAGGTATTTTAGTGCCCTTACAAAGTTTCACTGATGGTTTTGTTGTTATCTATGAACAAATTACTAGAATAAAAACAAAATCAAATTAACAGAATGAAAGGTAAAGAGTGAGCTACTTCCATATTAATATAATTAGTAAGTCTCAAATCGTTCTCAGACGACTGTGTAAAATATACTTCTTTAAAGRAAATATCAAGTAAACTATTCATAGCCACAGGCCTATTACTAATGCAATTATCTTGTAAATAGGTGCATTTAATAATGGGGATTACTAAGACAATGTGAATCAACACTATTTTATGCTCATTCTTTTCATAAAGCATCAGTTACATAGAGGAGAATAATAATTTATCAATAATTATAGTAATAACAATAAAGATACTTTCGATTCTGAGCCATTATCAATGACCTGTGTATAAACTAAAAGGCACCTAAAAAGAGGAAATGRAGTATTTATTATATAATTAACTCTGTTTGAAACACATGCTATAAAAGAACTATTCACTGGCTACAGAAGATTTCCTCTTGAACTGCCTCATGATAATCAAGAAGGACATTGTTGGGTCTACTTGAATTTCAAGTCAGGAATGTTCTTTACTGCTGAAGCAAGCATTTCTATTTCAGAAACGCTTCATGGGCCTTCAGATGGTTGGCTAAATATACTTAGCATTCGAGGATGTGTGCATTTTCCAACAATTGCATTAGACGATGCTTACATATGCACACACTAAAATGCAAGTCTTAAAGCCTTTAAATATGATGCCTCTTTTTGCAGGATTAGGAAAAATTATAACTTAGTAGTTTTTTCCAAACACATGCAGATGAACAAAGGAAAACTTAATTATAAATCTTAAAAATTATCAGGGTATAAAACCTCTATTTCTTTCCATTTAAACAACTGATTCACAAATGCCACACAGATATCTGTTAATGGTATGACTTAAGTATGTCATAATGAAACACAAGTTGAAAAATGGGCATGCATTCTGTTCATTTTGAATAATCAAAAAACATCTGATCTAGTCTAGAAATGCAATTATTAACAGGCACTTGCTTTCTGATCACCCATAGTATGATGTGACCATTTGAACAAATATTTACCAGAAAAGAACGAGAATTGAAGTAGAATTTTATTTTTGCTTTTTTAAGATTTTTTTTTTCTCTCTTCTAGTAATTCCTGCAGCACATAAATAGGAAAGGGCACCAGCTTCTTGGACTTGGACATGTTTCATGATTATTCTGAGGCATGTTGGTAGCTCTTGCTTCCTGCCCTTATCTTATACAGGAGTGAGGTGATAAAATATGACAGGCTCCGTGAGATACACACTAACAAGACATGGGCTGGGATGGAAAGATTCAAGCCAGCAGCTGAAAGGACATTTTTGCCTTCAACCACTAGCTTTCTCAGCAATTTCAGGATATGGATAATTGAATGATGGCAGTGATCAGGGAGAAAAAAAATAGTRATGCATTCCCCCCACCCCTGCCCTTCTTTCTAGCTCTAAAGTAAGATGGGCAATTTTATGGGTTATGGTGATAAACTTTTTCTCATTTGTCATTTTTCCAAACCTCTGTGTTAGAACAAAAAACAAAACAAATCAAAAAACTGAAACACAGCCTCATAGAGAAATTTTTCCAAAAGAGAAGTATCTTGACAAGTTTCTAAGGAGTCAAAATGAAAGGTTATTAAAAAAAATCAACCCATTATAGGAATATAAGAACAAGGGTATAGAGATAGAAATAAGTCACATAAACACCAAAATGGTAGCTATGTGGGYAGGAAAAAGAATTAGAGGCAATAATCAGATAGAGCAAGTATCAAAATGAGAACACTCTCATTTTGAGAATSATTAGGGAGAGAGAAGTTGTTCAGAGTATAAGAAGGGGATCACCTTCGCCGAGGCATTCCAAGACACGGCATGCCACAAAGGAAAATGGGAAGAAAGGTTAAAATCATATGGAAATAAAATTTGGATTGAAAGAAAAATTGATATAAAGGGAGATAATTCAGAATTCGGTCATTCTAAATGTTTTAGAAAATATATTACATTGAATTGCTTATTTTTTTWAAATTGTTATTTGTTCTTTTTAGTTATATATGATGGTAGATTCTACTTTGATATATTTAAATATTGACTATATCTTACTGTAATTAGGATTATATATTCATAATATTGTAATTTTGATTAAGAGAAGGTTTAGGGAAGGAATTACAATATGCTTTATACAAGAGTCTGGGAAGTAAACTGGGAGGGGAGGGCAGGGATCTGGCTTATATAAAATATAGGCAAAAATAAAATTGAAAAAGGGTGGAAGATCAGAAAAGATTGGGAAGATATGAATTATCTGTACCCTTGCTGTAGTCAGGTTGATATTAAGGAAAATAAGGACTGAGGTTGTACTTGTTAAAGTAGGAAAATGATACCTTCTCACGCYCAGTTCTTGGTCACAAATGATAACTTAAAAAATAAGTGGAATAATAGAAYAAAAGTAAGAGAATGTATTCTTTTTTTAATCCTTCATTGTTAGCTACTTTTGCCAAATCTTGAAAAACAGCTACAGAAAAAAATCTTTCAGCACCTAGCAAATTACACTTATGAAATGGATACAAATGTGCAAAATTGTAATAGTGTTTGAAAAATATGTCAACATTGAATAATTAACCACCTAAAACAAACAAATGAAAACTTGCATGGAATGGTCTGTAGTGAATGTACTAATATCTAAAATATCAGAAAAGTTGCTCATTCTAAATAAGGCAGTGCAGAAAATTAAGGCTGGGATACATTCCTGGAGGACAGCAACGGTACGCACCACAAGTTGAACACCATTCAAAATAGTTCAGTCTTTATGTTTTGTTCTACCTCTGATGGAAACGTTTCCCCAGCAATCATAGGGTTGCATTAAAATGTTCCTACTAAAATCAACCACATGGTGACCACAGAACAATGATCAAGTCCTCAAAATTAGGCAGCCCTTGAAGTTGCAACAGAAATATTGAGCAAACCTACCTTTTATAAAGAAGAATAGCAATGACAATGCAGATGATAAAGACTACTGCAAGGACAGGACCTACGACCCAGATCAAGCCTTCTTCTTCATCTGTGATGGGCTGTGGATCCAGATCCATCGACACAACAGGGTCAGAGTAGGGGCTGGTTGCATACATCTTCTGAGGAAAAACAGAGTCTGTTTTAGTTATCAAATAGGGTCTTTCTGGACTGTATTTTGCATTAGAAGGATTTCCCCCCCAGCTCCAAATTTAGGACATAGTGGATTTTATGACAAATGGATAAAGCAATTGAAGTCAAATACAGGATGAAATCAATCAAATGAGGAGGAAAGAGAAGGGAGAATAAAGATGACGGAGAAACTGACAGTCTTGCGTGATCAGTTTCCTTGCAGAGTGAAATCTTACAACAAAATCACTTTGTGGTATAAATTACTTCATTGGTACTTCTCAGTGGGATCTACATACAGAATATTAAATAATTTAATGAACCATAAATACCAATGATTAACCAGTCCCAACATGTCCARTGAACTTTTACATTGTGCCAATGTGTGAGAAGCTATGTGAAAACCCAGAGAGAGAGTTCTAGCCTCAAGGAGTGACAGGGTAAGTATCCCTAATTCAAAATTCTCAAATCCAAAACTTTCTGAGCAATTTCACATTTTTGGATTAGGTACTTTAGATATTTGGATAACACAGTGAAGTTGGTATGAATATCCCCAAATCCAAAAACATCTGAAATTGTCAACTCTGCCAGTCRCAAGTATATTCAATATGAAATACTCATTCTATATCAACCAAAAAGGCCACAGTTAAAAGGTACATATACAGAAAAATAAGTCAGTACTTTGTCAAGTATTTAATTATATCAGTTCTTCTAGTGCTATATGTTGTTAGGCCAAATGATGGACAAATCAAGTCCACAATTTCAGGAAAGAAATCCAGTACCCAAATCATTGGTGCAAGATGTACAGAGCTGATGACATAGCTTTCTTAAATAGGGAATTTTTATAACTTGAAAGGGTTTATTAGTTCCTAATTAATTTTATTGGTCACTTCCTGGTATGCTTGTTTTTAGCACACAATTGATAATAAATATAATTTAAAAAATAGTTACTTGGTGAAGGAATGAACTGAAAATTTGTGAACTTTCTACAACATTCCATTATGTTCTGTCCCATTTTGGCCTGATTTTAGACAAGCATTCTCTTGACTCTGTCTCTTCATATTGTCCCTTTCCTTTTCCTTCCCAGCCTTTCCAACCCAACCCCACCGGCTGCCCTGCTTCTTATCTCTTCTCACCTAAACATGACTATTGGTTCTATTACTTATTTCCAAATCTAATTCTCTTCATTCCGTTCTTACACCTTTTCAGATTTGCTACAATTGACCAGGACTTTTTAAAAACTCCTGCTCTGACTTTTCTTAAATCCCTAATCTTTCCAACTGCTCAAGTCCGATTGAGTTAACTGCCCCTGTTCTATGGGCATGCATTCTTGGGCTCTGTTCTCCACCACCCTAGGATGTTCAGATCATCCCCCAGTGTTCRCTACCARCCTCCTCTGTTCAGATTACTTCTTTACTAGAGTTACTAAACTCAGGAACTCTAGTAAGTGTCAGACTCTCATTTCCAATTGTCTCCACATGCATGCTCAAATGAGGAATTGCCTGCATGATTTCACTTCTTCCCAGAGAGAACTTTCTCCCAATTCCCCAATTTCTCTTATACTGTGAGTATCTATGAATAGAGACTACTGACATTACCTATCAGTGACCCTCAGGTCCATCTGTCCTTTTTGCAGCCTCATGGACACCATCTTTCTTTAGGACCTCATTCATGTTCTCCTAACCACACCAAAAATGTCTCCCTTTTTTCTAATACTCATTACTGCTGTCAGAGTTACTGCCCTAAACCACATAAAACCTTCAAGACAAATAGATAAAGCAATTGGTTACTACTAGATAAAACCTACATACCTTAGCATGGCCCTCAAAGGCCTTTGTTTTAAATTGTCGCAGCACATCGAACATATTCCATCAGATTGAGCTACTACTCCCCAAATGCTCTATTCTTATTCTTTAACCCTCCACAAGTTCCACAACATTTAACTCCTAAAATCCAACTAAGGTGCCACTTGAATACTGCCCCCTTAATTGTGGAAGAAATCTGTCATTCCAAAAATTACATGTAAAAATAACAAGTTGATCACCAAACTCTTTTTAAAATTTGGATACACCCTTCACTTCTTTTAATGAAAACAAAAATTCCCGAAAGAGAGATTTATATACTATATTTATATACTATTTGTGTATATAAATCATTATTACCCTATACATGTATGATGCTTAAAATGGCTAGCACAGAGCTCTGCAGTTGGTGGGATCTCAACAAATCTTTGCTAAATAAAAAGCTCCAATTCAAATGGCTGTGATTATCAAAGATATGAGTGTATATGCTCCTTTATGATCAGTAAATATATTTAATTTTTAACCTTCATCTTTAAAAAACCCCATTTCAGGTATATATTCTGCAATTTAGTATAATGAGCTCAGCAGACATGTTCGGACAACACATGCCACACTGAAATCTTGATTTTACTCCATTTTCTTCACCTACTCAGGAAAGGGATTGCCTCAATTTCCAGATTTTTTTAATGCATCAAAAGATGATGAAAAGTCAATATATATTTATAACCTGCTCAGAAAGAGCTCAAATAAATGTGAGGGAAAGAGGGTAGGTGGAATAAAGATATGTGGTATAAGGATTTACACAAAGGACTTGGCAGAGAGACTATAATATTCAAGAAACATGATTCTTTATATAAGTGTGTTTGTTTATGCAGTCGCCTACTCCATTTGTAGGTCACACTCAAAGTGTCTGCAGAAGCAAAACATGTTGACTTAAAATTCTTTCCCAGAGCCTTTGAGATGATAATCTAGGTCAATCAAGATGGAATTCTAAGCAAAGGTCTTCCCAAAGCACATAGATTTCCAACCCCAATCAGGAAACACAGTCATGTTATAACAAAAAGAAAGTAAAGCCATAAAATGATACTAGTCTCATGAAAAATAAAATGTGTTCAGTGGGTGGCAATAATAGTTTTAACTTTATACTACTCAAAAATAGTTCTCTGGTATTTTTTTGAATATGAGGCAAAGGATTGGGGAAAAGCACCTGTCCTTACTAGGAAGAGACATGTTTTGTCTCTGCAAATTGCCAACCCACTCTTGGAGTGGTTATGCACATTACTAACCGACAGTCTCAGAAATCTGAAGCTTCACTGCACACATGATACTACTTGGATACAATTCGCATCTATAAAGTAAATGCTGGCCTGAACACGTAGGAACCATAGGGAAAACACTGTTTTCGTGGAGAGCAATATCAAGAACCAACCTAGATGCCCTTCAGCTGATGAATGGATAAAGAAAACGTGGTGTATATTCGCAATGGAATATTACTCAGCCATAAAAAAGAATGAAACTATGGCATTTGCAGGTAAATGGATGCAACCAGAGAATATCATACTAAATGAAATTAGCCAATCCCCCAAAACCAAATGATGAATGTTTTCTCTAATAAGTGGATGGTGATCCATAGTGGGGGGTGGTAGGGAAGAATAATGGAACTTTGGAATGTGTAGAGGGAAGTAAGTTGGGGGTGCCAGGGTGATAGAGATGGAGAGGACAATAGAATGAGACAAACATTATTACCCTATTACATGTATAATTACACTACTGGTGTGAATCAGCACCAGGTACATATAGCTAGAGGAATGAGAAGTTATGCTCCATTTGAGTACAATGTGTCAAAATGCATTCTGTCATGTATAACTCATTTGAACAAATAAAAAAAAATATGGTGGAGAAAAGGAATAAGATAAATTTTGGGGAAAAGATCTTCATTCTACAATTAATAAAACTGAGATGACACAGTAAGGAAAGGAGTGGACACATCAGCATTTGGTGACCCACTTAAACAGGGGGAAAGGGTTGGGGAGACATCAAGAGCCAGAGTGAAAGAGCGTTCAGTCCATTTTGTTTGTATGATCTGATGAGCTTTCCCTTCTTTGTTGGGTTCTCTGATCTACCTCCATGTTCTGAAAGTGCTTTCTGAAACGTTCATAGAGCTATTTAAAGAAAATTCCTCTCAAGTACCTAAGTCTTATTTTTTCTCTTTTTAAAGAGAAAGATGATTTCCAACCTCCCATTTCCCTTGATGTTCTGCCTTAAAAACTTCAACTGGAAAGAGAAAGCGTATCTGTACATTAAAATTCCAGGAAGGCCGTCACATCGTTTTTGAAATGACATTTTGCGTACAAAGGTAAACCAGGCTGCCTTTGTGTTTTGACTTTCCACGGGGGAATTCCTTCAGTCGTTTGAAGAGAGGCCCCACTGTACGCGCTAATACCTGATGTGGAGAAACCTTTGATACACTGAGGGCTTCTTACATGCAGAAATTGACTGGCTCAATGGAGTTGCCACGCCTGTCAGACTCGGGCCCTGATTAGAAAGATCCAGTCTGCAATATGTATGTTAAATGTTAATGTGAACTGCCACTTCAAAACCCACCCCCCTTCCCATCTACAGTTTCTCTCCATTTTTTTTTTTAATGTTCAAAGCAACTGAAGCATAAAACGACATAAGAGCAAGATGAATTACATAAAAGAAGACAACTCATTATTTAGAGTACCTTAGGAATTCTCCCTTTTATTGAATTATTTTCAAACTTTCTTGGCTTTTCACTGACAAAGCCACTTSTAAAGTGCTATAATTAAAGAAACTGGTTGTGCTTGCCTCTTCCTAGACAGATCTTCCGGGGAAGCTAGCCAGAGGAACCGTGGCCTCACTGGCAGTTTTATAGGAGAATAAATGCAACCATTTCCAAAGTCAATGTTTTCAAATATTTGGAAATATATTATGTGGACTTAGAATTTATTAGTTCTTACTGAAATCACAGAGGCTAATATCTGACAGGTATTATGTCAGATGAGAAGAGYAATTTTTATTTTTTTTTAAATACCACTTGAGGGAGGAAGATTGTAAGCGATGCACGTAACACTGGGACACATGTGTTAYGTTGACAGGTCTGGAAATCCATGTCCTGACATTCTCGTACTTCACATAAATGAAGCTCACCTAAACTCCCTGTCATCAGAGACAACTTATTTGCACTGCAATCCCATGCAGTGTACTAGAAGGGCAGGCAGGCTGTTCTTACACTTCAGTTAATGACAGCTCAAGAGAAATAATTAGGATGGATGTCCCTACATGGCCCCAAACAACCACCTAGTATATACTGGCMCAACTGTGTAAAAGTACCCCAGCAAATAGATGTCATGATAATGAACTTACAGACTCTGCATGCTCCATCACTGCTAACACGAAGAAGACATATTCTTGACCACTTTGGAGCTGCTTGTTTGTAAATCCGCCATAATGTTTGTCATCCCCCAGGGTGAACTCAGTGGGAAGGACATCAAAGTGAGCGGCAATATATGGCTTTAATTCAACTTCTCTCCCGTAGCGGATGCTTCTGCGTTTCCTAGATATCTCCTTAAGCAGCTTAAAGAAGAAATGAGAAACAGAAAAAGAACTGTAAACAACAATAACCCACATACTGATAGTTAAATGGGAGAAATTAATTCAGTACTGGGAACAACCCAAATTCAATTTGTCCACATTTCATGTAGCAATGCCAGCATCACTAAATCTTAGTTCTTTCCATACTTCAAATGCTTGTCTTCCTGTTAAATAAGATATTGGACTCCTCTTGCAAGGGCCAGGCTATAAACACAGGGCAATTAGATCTTTACTGGTAGCTCATATCATTTCCTACACTAATGAAATTCTCTCAAAGGGCAATACTGCATCATAACTTGTCTAAGGAGAAATGGCAGCTTGATTCATAAAAGCCTTGTTTTGTAGGAGATTTATTAAACAAGGAGTAACCTCAGATAAAGTCATCTAAAAGTCTAACTATTACCACATTTTTRGAGAGTTTAATTTTCAATTATGAGATCATTTATATGATGTAAATTCCCTCAAAGCAACAGAAGCAATATTTATTAACTTTTAAATTTATAATATGTATGTTTGTAATATAAATAAATTCTGAATTTATGTATATTAAAAGGGACATTGTTATTCACTTAACTATTCGTGACTTAATTTGCCTCCTTGATTAATTTGGGTGCAATTCATCACATTTTGTCATGGAACTCATTTTTTATRGAATGCATTCCTCTGGGGAGTTTGTTGAGTAACATAGACAGGGTGAATAGAAATCAATTTCAATATTATGTTGAAGAAAGCAAACACATATATATATACATTAAGATCCCTCATGAGTTCCTAAAAGAAAGAATTTATTTTTAGATAACATGTTGTTTCACATTGCCCCCTTTATTAGGAGAAAAATCACATTAATGATATGACAACTGATTTCAAAATGATATCAAAGCTATCATTAGCTTCTTCCACTACCTCGTATTTCACCAGGTTTAACAGGGAATAGGTCTGTTTCAGTCTGGAATGCTTTTTGAGACAAGCAAAAAWTTTTTAAAGGTTTATTGGAGAGAATTTTTGTTTTGTTTTTTTCATTATCTGTGCAGAAAACACAATATATCTGAGGACAAACTGGAAAAAGATCATGCACCTGAGGATAAACCCTGTCCTTATCTTGATAGACAAAATTAAAGTATTTATGAAAAATTTGCAAGAAAAGTATTTATATCTCTTCATTTTATAAATGAACAGAATATGGTTAAAAACCAAAATAGTGACAACTACTTAGTATAAAGAGATGTTGCCATAATCGAGGTCAGGATTTGGTGCTGATAAAGCCCTCAGACTTTATCTATGAAAAACACTGAATCTATCCAGTAGGAATCTGATGTTCTATAGTTTCTTCTACACTCAGACTTGCAAATGGGCTCAGCTGATTCAAAATTATACCCTCAAAATGGAGAAAACAGTCTTTTCATTATATAGATAATTTGTGCCCATGTTATTTGTCAATAGTATCTAATTTATAATGTTCTAAAATTTTCTGTTAAATTTGAATTTATTGATGCAATTAAGATTATGTGAAATGTGAGCTGTATGAAAAGCATAGTAAACTAGACAATATCTGTTTAGCAAATGTGAACCATCTGATGATAAATTCAGAGAAATTGATCAATTATGCACCAATTGGTTAGTAAAAAAAAGCAATGGCAAAAATTTAATACTATCTTTAAGCTCTGTTGTGAAATTTAGGTTTGTTTTTAATCATAATAATAGCTATCACTAAGAATTTTCTGGACACCAGGCACTGTTTTATAAGCCCAAAGATGCATTAAGTTCATTTACTCTGTATAATAACCCTATGAGGTAGGTTACAATCATCCCCACCTATAGATGAGGAAACTGGGACATAATWAAAAAATTGCAATGAATGAAATAAAATTACTCCCAAGAGATTTTTTCCAACCTTATTTTTACTTGTGKTTTTCCCAAATCAAGAAATCAAATGCTATGTTTAAGCTCTGATCACCTATTTGTTTTCACTTGGTCTGTACTTAGACACATCGTTTTTGTGCACTTGCTTTCATTAACACAGATGGACGTGTTATTTCCTTTCTCTGGATTCTTTTAACATGCTAATTTAAAAAAATCTGTTGTCAAATATTCAACATAACATTATACTTGAAAAGTCATTAGAAAGGTTATTGTCGCTGTGCAGCAAACAATGACAGCCATTGCTTTGAGGACAAATGCACTGCAGATGAGCTGAACAGCATCTTCAAGTTGGTAAATCAAAAACATTTACCATCAGTTGTTTATGTGACTGCGTCCTTTCTTCTACTTCACTGATCAAACCCTACCTTGATTTTATTCATATTTCAGATGAAGGCAGCTGTCATAATTCATCCATATCATTGTCATTCCCATAAGAACCTTTTGCTAGGGTTTATTTAGAAGATGTAGAGAAAGTGCCTCAGAATAAAATTTTTGAGTATTTTGGTGTTCCTTAGGTCCAATGCAGTCATTCATTAATACATTGGACCTAATAGAACATCACCCTGGCCCTGTAGGTTGCTCTAAGCTCTGTAGAAAGCTTCCTGTGTTATACTCTAAATGGCTCAAGTGAGCTCAGATGACACCAAAGTTAGACAGTATGCTGGTTACAATCACAAAAGTCCGTGATATTTTACGACAAGCCTTTGAAGTACAGTGCAACGAAAAGCTTATGATATATTAGGTGACCTGCTCTGAATTAAATATAACTAACATTTTGGGAGTCATTCTGCCCAAAATTCATTTCAAYTATCAATGTCTGCTCTGCCCAGTATGACCTTGAGAACAGGAGTTCCAGTCTATGAATTTATCATGTGAAGAGCATCTTCAGACAAAGAATAAAAAGAGCTCAGAAGATAATTTTTAGAGTAACTCTGTTTAGAAAGCCTCTTTCAATTTTTTATGGGCCTCAATGTGAGGCATACATGTGGAAATCCCCTTAGGCCACCATTCTATTCGATGATATGGTTCCAACAATTTGAATTATAGGCCTTTCTGAAAAATTACTTGGTCAAATACATTTAAGAGAGGAATACCACTTTGTCAAACTTGGCAGTACCAAGCTATAGATAAAATTACTACAATGCTTTTATTATCCATGATAGGGTGGGAAAATCCTGTCTGCAGGGATCAGAAACTGGATGAGTAAGCAGAAAGTGAGGCCATAGCCTACTTTCATTTGTTCCCCTCCACAATAGTTACAAGATGTATTGGAGGTAATTCCAGAGATATATCAAGGGCTTTAGTTCTTTTATCAGAAATAATTTTCATTTTCCAGTCAATGCATATCTTATTTCTTCCACCATTAATTCTACAATGTGGTCTCAATTATATCAGTAAGAAAAGTGGGAAACAACCCATCCTGACCCAAAAATTTTGAATTAATAAAATGTTCTCTATCAAGCTATTATACAGATTAATGCACCACAACCTACAGGATGATTAAAATGACCCTTTGTTAAGGGAACCAGCAGCGCAGACCTGTAGAATTTAATTGCAAGAAAGTTCAATGTCACATAGCTCTATACTTTAATCCATTAATGTTGCTGTGCATTTTAGAGGTTAAAAACTGGCTGTAAAAGAGACTCACTTTCTATTACTTATTATCAAATGGCTTCACTTCTAAGGCAAGCTTATTATTTAAAAGTATTTGATATCATTTGCCTTGGATCTCAATACCTTAAAAACTTAAAAAAATATGTATATATGTATGTATGTATAGAGATTCACAGGATCTACAAGTTGCCTTTGCAATTACAACTAAAATGTGATGGTGACAATCCTGGAATTCAGAAAAAACCCTAATAAGATCATAAATTATTTCCCAGGATTATCTTATTAGTCATTTGCAAGTAATATCCTGTCTGGCTTTGGAATCCTTACAAAAAGCTAACTGATCATTTTGCATCTTCAGATGTAGGATTACTCTTCCTCCACTATCATACGATAATAATTTTATTTCTTTAGCATTAATAGAAAAAATTAACTTGATAATTTATCTAAATTACTTCATAGTATTATTGAAATGATGCCTTGTTTTATACCCCCATGACATCTAATCACTACATGACACAAAAGCATCAGCCTAACCTTGAACTAATCTCACCTTCTGAACTTGATCAAATTTAACTCAAAGTGGATGTTGATGAGTCCCCACTTCTAGAGGTGACACACATCTGCCAGAGAATGCTAACAGTCCCTTTTTGTCAAATCAAAGTCTCCTTTCTGTAGACATGTTTGAAATAAAAATCACCTTCCAGTAATACAGGTAAGGAATTTAATATTTTCCTTGCTGCATTTGTACTAATTTGACATAGAGAGAATACCTAGAAATAACAGGCTGTGCTCTAAGATGTGGCCTATGTTGTAAATAAACCCAATAAATTAAAATCTTCTATTTCCCAAAAGGGCATCTGGGTATTTGCCTTATGAACTTATTCAAAACAGCATTTCATTAAAATAACAAAGTCTCTCCTATATTTCAAATATGAATCCTAGTCATTAACTTTCAGTGGCCCTCTGGGGATGTGGCCCAATACCCAGGTTTGTAGTTTTCTCATGCAAATAAAATATGTCATAAATAACTCTTCTATTTCACATTATGTATTAACTTTTTTAATGCTCTTTTTAAAAAAGAATTTTCAATTAAAATGCACTTATTTTTAGATTTTAGAAATTAAAGTCATATTACTTAATTATTGCCATATTTTGTTTTACATTTCCTTCTTTGCTCAAAATTTTGTGATTTTTTTCATTTTCCTCTGCAGTTACATGTACTTTTGATTCTGAAAAACCTATAGAATACAGAATAAGGCAAACATTAACTAATCAATAGAATTCTGTAAGAAACTGGTCAAGACCACATATTAGGTCAAATGAACTCTGCTGCTAAAGTACAATTTAGCATTTGTAAGGGTCTTAGCAACTGTCAAACGAATGATGGCCCTTGAAATTCATATCAATGGTCATTAAGTCTTTGCTGACAATTTATTTCACCTTCCCCACTTCTACATTATGTTTTACAAGGGGCAAAATATTAAGGCCAACAATGATTAGACAGGTTGTAAGCTTTATTGCAGTTTCATGTCTTTTAATTAAAGCCCAAGGATCTTTGTTGGGATCCCTAGAGTATAATATGATCAGAGCATTGAGCCACCCGACCAGCCAGATGTGCAGAAGCCAGCACCTTCATTAGATGCTGAAAGCCTCCATAGGGAAGAGAGGATATTTAAATAAGTAATGAAAAACACAGCCAACAAAGATATAGTTACCTCATCTAATTCCATTTCATCTGGACTCTCCCATGGCTTGATAAATTTCCCACGAGATTTCTTCAAAGGCACAATTATTATGTAGTAACCTCTGCAAAGAAATGGACGGGCAAAAATAAGATTAGTTCAGAGGGAAGAGAAAATAAATGTGCCCTTCAATCTTCCACAGACCAGTGATTGAGAATGAAGGCAAATTATGGATATGGAGTGACTTGTCCATTTCTTACATCAATGACAAATAACCACCTGTTGTTCAATTTTAAAAACAACATGGATAGACATTTATGTGTGACTTCAATGATCTTGTATGGCAATATCACCATGGCTGACTACTCTTTATTAGGTATCATAAACAGAACAGGCACTTGTTGTTAGGACCCTGGTGCTGGACACATACAAGGRTAGTATATTGAAATCTACCACCACAAGCTGCTAAACAAATATTTTTTATGACATCAACTTGCAACAGGATATTTTTAAAAGGGGGTGGTATATAAAGAAAATTACTCTTGGTTTCCACAGATATCTATTATTTTGTTTATACAAACCAAAAATACTTTTTGTTTGGATACAAAAATTAAAAATAAAACTTACTCATCTGAAAAGAAAGTAAAATGCAAAACCTCTTATCTTGCCTATCAAACTATAAAACTAAATACTGCAGAATTTCTAAGATTTCTATGTAAAGGGCTTCAAATTAGGTCTCAACATAATGATATCTATAAGAAAAGACAAATGTAACTGAGACCTCACACTGAAAATGGTCAACTAAAATTTAAGTGTTGTCTAAAGCCACCTGTTAAAAAACAGATATAGGTCACTAGTCAAGTTACTAGAGAATATATCCTTCCCTTGCATTCATGTTTAGGGACTTGCATAACTACATATGGATTTGGAACATAGTAGATAATACCTACTAACACATTGATCACTTCCTACTTTTCAGGTATTATATTAAATGCATACACTTGTTTTACCTTCCTGTAGCACAGTCCCTTAAGTGCAGTCTAGACATAAACTCTAAGGCTGTAAGAGCAGGTCACAAACAAAAAGATCCAGAAAAAGAGATAGTAAGGGGATTTAAACTTTTTCAATGATCTCTTTTTTACACTCACTCCATGCATCATAACACATTTCTGAAGAACTCCACAAAGTTGATGTAGATTTATTGGGAAAGTGAAAACACACACATACAACAGAAGACAGTCATATACCTTTGAGAAGAGAAGGTTGTCACAGGGGACAAAGCAAAGAGGGAAAGGGCACTATCAACCCTGAGCTGCATGGAATTGAAGAGAACAGTAGCAGCCACAGGAAAGCCTCTTTTAACTCATCCCAAATTCTCAACAAACTCAGCAAAACTTCAGCACTATTGAGCTGTTCCCATGAATACTGTCTAGAGCTAAGCTGACCAGTATAGTAATCTCAGGCCCCTGTGGCCACCAAGCTATTCAAATGTGGCTCCCCAGAACTGAGATGCACCCTAGTTATAAAAGACACACTGGATTTTGAAGTGTTAGTAAGAAAAAAAGAGAATGTAAAATATCATTGACAGGGGCAGGGGTCGTGGCTCAGTGGTAGAGCACTTGCCTGGCATGTTTGAGGCACTGGATTTGATTCTCACCACCACATATAAATAAATAAAATACAGGTACATTGACAACTACAAAATACTTTTTAAAAAATATCGGTGACATTTTTATAATGGCGATCAGAGGTTGAAACAGTAATAATACTCTGTATTGGGGTTACATAAAACGTTATTAAAATTAATTTTACCAACTTCTTTTTGCTTACTCTCTTTGCAACTATTAGAAAATTTAAAATTTCACAGGGATCTCACACAATGCTTGCTGATAAGTGCTACTCTAGAGTGTTCTTGTGAAGAATATGGCACTTGGAGATACAGTTGGCCCAGAATTTAGGCTCCACTACTGATATGCTGGATAGTCTTAGGTTGTTTGTTTAACATCCCTGAATCTCAACTGTATATTCTGAAAAATGGAAGTATACCATACTAGGCTGTTGAGTGCAGGGAAACAAAATAAACAAACCTGAAGCATTGAGCACAGTGTGGGTAGCCAACAGCACCAAACAGACGCCAGCTGTTATGGGCGAGGCTGACATCACAGTGGAAGAGACACATCTGAGCTATCTCATTCACTAGGACGGATGAAATTCCATGAGATGGAGGTAAAACAACTTGTTTAACTTTTTCCTCCTAATCAAGAATTCAAGTCAAACCAGTCAATTATACCAGAAACCTTTCTCCATGGTGCGGTGAGCAACTCATGAACAGATGCACACAAGTACATCACCTAGCCGTTCATTTTCTTTACTACAAATAATCATGATGATCAAGGAGGGTGAGGAGGAAGAAGAGTTGGAGAGTATGAGAGAGGCCAATATCTTTTATTTTATGATCCAGATCAAGCCTCCTCTTCATCCTGTCCTCCCACTACCTGAAGGATTTGCCAAACAAGTCCATCATGTTAAATGAGCATGGAGAAGAATGACAGAGGCTGCAACTGAGCRTACAAAATAACACTGCAGATGTACTTGATAAACACACTTGTCAAGGAACCTCTTGCTTTTTCTACCAACTGCACAAAGTCAGGAGAGCTTCTCTTCTCCTAAAGTAATGATGCTGCACATTATCAGAGAGCGCCCACTGTCTGCTTTCAGAATCGTATAAATCAAAGTTAAGCTGATGAATTCTATTAATTTTTCTTCTGCTTTCATACACTGAGTTGTCATTCTTGTTCATGGGGAAAAAAAAGGATGCATTCTTTCTTCAGCAACACTCCCCAACTATTCATTTCACTGGTGGCTGAGATAAGAATTGAACAGCCTCTCCCATAGCAATTAATTATCAGTGTGGTCAGATATCCATAACCTCCTCTATCTCTACTGCTCTCTAAACCATGCGTCCAGGTCTAGGGCAGTCAAAATAGAGCTTGCTTCCAAGCCACTCTTGCACACTGAGAAAAATGGGGTGTTGGCAATTGGAATTYCAGATTATAGAAAGTATCACCTCAGTCTAAATACACAATCTGAATCTCTGCAACTCAGACTTTGCAAACATCCATGTCTTTGCCTAACCTGCACCCTAGCTTTCCCCGAAGGGTGCTGCTTCTCTTGAARCCTTCTCCTATGGTAGCTGTTAATTTATCCCTCTTCCCTCTCCAGGAATCTAAGAATCAAGATTTGGGGTTTGTTTGTTTTCTTAGCTCCTTGTAGCTTCTTAAGGTATTTTTCCTCTACCCTCTTGCTAAGAAATTAAACAGCCAGCTTCTGTTTTGAAGTTCATGCAATTCATCTATATGACTCTMTTCTCAGGCTGATTTTTGCCATGTATCAAGTTCTCTAGCATCTCTTTTCACAGAAGTTTTTTTGTTTGTTTGTTTGTTTAGGTGAGGTTCAAAGTCTACCTTCCTCCAAAATTCTGCCATTGTCCTGGGTGATTTCAATCTTCATAGGGTTGGCTCACATACCACCCTACCTCTTACATCTTTCAATTCTTACTTTCCAAAGTGTACCTCTCCCATGCAATTTATGGTAGACTCTCGACTCTCTGTGCTTGAGCTTAGGGAGCTGAATACAGCTAGAGAAACAGGGCACAGGGCAGGATAAAGCCACAAATCCATGATCAGCAAATCCCAACAGGCCCCCAACAATGCCTGGCAAATACACAAAGTCAGCTTCTCCCTTTACCAAGTCCTTCCATTCTCCACAATGACTTTTTCAAGTGCTCTCCACTACTCAAACTTGGATGTTCATATCTCCCCACAAAATGATGTTCTTGGCTTTTACTTAAGAAAATATAAATAGTCTGACAATAATTCTCTCATCAGTCTATCAAACTACAAGCCTAATTCTACTATAATCTTTCCTTTAGGTACAGTGTAAGGGTACAGTGTATTATAGCCAACAACTATTTAAATTGATTCCCATTCTCTGACTTTCTTAGACAGTTAACTAGGGCCCATACCACTTTCTCTGTCATCTGTCTCAACTTCCTCCCCACTGGACCCTAGCCATCAGACTTCAGCCATGCACAGATATCCGCCATTTAAAAAACAAACCAAATTACACCCTACTCTAGTCATCTACCTGTCCCTCCTAGTACTTACAGCCACAATTCTGCAAGTAGCTGCTTGTTCTCCAGGCTCTCCATTTCTTTCTCTTCCACTCACATCTTGGTGGACTTTGCTATCTTCCTGCCTCAGCACTGCCATCAACAGGGAACTCAAGGACCTCAATGTGTGACAAGGGAAGGAGAGTTTTGATCCTCTTCTTAAATCATCTCTTAGCAGAATCTTACCATTTTGGTAAGATCTTCCATGAAACATTCTCACCTCTTTCTTTGTTATGTAACTATTTTCTACATTATCTTTTCCTATATTAATTCTACTTCCTTAACAGAATCTATTATGTGCTATCCAGCAATTAAATGATGGAGTCCCTMCAGGCTCTGGCCAAAGACTTCTCTTCATGCTGTTTTTGTCCTAGGAGAACTCAATCCATTCATGGCATAGGTTATCAGCTATATGCAAATTTTAACAGATTAATATCTTCAGCTCAGAGTTCTCCTGTGAATTCCAGAGATTTATCAAAATTCAAATTTATGTTTTCATTTCTATGTGCAAAGTACCTCAACTTCACTGCGATTAAAATGAAATGAACAATACACCTTTCAAAATAAATCCTTCTCTAATATTAAACCATATCTATTATAGCACACATGTCAATAACCTAGGTGTTTCCATTGAAAATATGCTTTTATTCTCTTCCTCTCGCATACCCAATCTATCATCAAGTACTCGTACTTCAAAACTCTAGAGCATTCACCTGTTTCCATGTCTACTGCTATCTTTTTTGTCTCATTCCATTTTCTCATGGCTATACAATAGTCTAACTKTCTCCATTCACTTTAGTTTTTCTAGTCTAGTCTCGAAATTTTCATTTCACAATACCATATTGATTGTGCCATTTCTACTTTTTGAGGCATTTCAATGGAGTCTCATTTCTCTAAGGATAAAGACCATAAGGAATTATAAGTCCCTGTAGGCTCTTACCTGAATGCATCTC